AATTTTTATTACTGTTTTTCCACCTATTCTGTCCTTCGAAAGACAAAAATAGTCATAGCTGATAGACAGTATAAGACTTTGTGTATGAGAATGAGTAAAGCTGTTTGTTGTCAGGATGACAAAACGTTTTAAAAGTTAAACTTTTAGGCTGGTCTGCCTCAGTGGTCCAACAGCGCTCGTCAATGTCAAAATGATCGAGATGGCCAATCAAATCAAAGAAGGCGGGTCTTACTGTCACTGTCACAATGCAACGAGAGTTCGTGGAAAGATGTAAGTAGTACCAAAGACTATAGAATACCCAAGACGTGTCACTCGTATAGTTTTGAATGGGGAAAAATGCAACACTCAATATGGCCGCTCTATCGAACGAAGCCCTGCCTTCTGAGCAAAAGAGCCTATCGCTAATCGGTAAAGTCAGCGCGTCACTGCAGCTGCCGTTAGAAATCCCGGTTGCTATAGAAACAGTCAACGCTCTGAGACGTGCGGTTAGGACTGCGCATGCGCACTGGCTGATCTAGCCTGAAAAATAAGCTTTTTTAACGCTATTTGAGCAAAATAAGCATTTTTTGCCCGAGAGGCGTTTCAAAGATGGCTGCCAAGTGACATGACTTGCCTTAAAGGGACTTTGGTAGTACTGTATTAGAAAACTGTTTTACGATAGAAATGTTCAGCGACCGACAGTAATAGACTATGATGCAAACTACTCAACTTTTTATGAAATTTGGCTGACGTAACAATCCAATAACAAACCTGAGTGAATTCCGATGAGGAATGATGTTTCTAAAACTCTGGTATGTGATTGTGTGATTGTGTGGTCTCTGTTTTGGTGATTGATGGTCTTTATCATATTTTTGCACACAAGCTCTGTACTGTCATTCATCCACATATGACCATTCTTCCCTTCACTTCCTCTCTCTGCATGTAACCCATTTCCTACAGCTCCTCCTCCTGTTATCCTCTCACCAATTTCTTTTTCTATATTTTTCTACCTCATTTCCTCTTCCCTTGAAAGACTATTTTCTTTGTGGCACTTCATTTGTGTTGGCTCTTTTGGCTTAGCCTTTGTGCTTCATTTCAGTCTTTTGTCAGTGACAAAATAAAATCTAGTGAAAGCGCTCCTTTCATAAGAATGTACCTGACAGTAACTGCAAATTGCTGTAAATGTATTATTAATTCAGCGTTTGTGTCTGTTCTGTACAAAGTGGCAGCAAGTGTTAAGACTGAAATTTACAGTTTCACTGATGAGTCTTTGGTGGATGGTCATTTTCTGCCTGACTGCTCAGAGCAGAGTGAGCTAACGCTATTGCACTCACAAAACTGAACTAACTCCTCACCAGTGGCTTCAGTGTGCTTGGTGGCTGGCTGGCTGGATAGATAGACAGGCTGACACTGTGGGTATACAGACAGATATTTGTGGCACTTCATTTGTGTTGGCTCTTTTGGCTTAGCCTTTGTACTTCATTTCAATCTTTTGTCAGTGAAAAAAGAAAAAAAAATCTAGTGAAAGAGCTCCTTTCATAAGAAAGTACCTGACAGTAACTGCAAATTGCTGTAAATGTATTATTAATTCAGCGTTTGTGTCTGTTCTGTACAAAGTGGCAGCAAGTGTTAAGACTGAAATTTACAGTTTCACTGATGAGTCTTTGGTGGATGGTCATTTTCTGCCTGACTGCCCAGAGCGGAGTGAGTTAACGCTATTGCACTCACAAAACTGAACTAACTCCTCACCAGTGGCTTCAGTGTGCTTGGTGGCTGGCTGGCTGGATAGATAGACAGGCTGACACTGTGGGTATACAGACAGATAGGGTATGGATATATGGGTATATATACAGGATAGATAGACAAGCTGATAGATAGATAGATAGATAGATAGATGATAGATAGATAGACAAGCTGATAGATAGATAGATAGATAGATAGATAGATAGATAGATGATAGATAGATAGATAGATAGATAGATAGATAGATAGATAGATAGATGGATGGATGGATGGATGGGTGGATGGGTGAATGGTAGGGCTGGGTGACATGGCCAAAAATATTATCACAATATTTTTTCCATATCATGTGATATTGATATTTATTGCAATATTCATTTACCATTAATGGGGAATAAAATACTTTCCTCATGTTTGTTAGACCTTGAGTATAAATGTGAACATAACTTTGTTTGTTCCCAATTAAATTCCACAGAGTGAGATACCTTTTAATTTAGGCCCCCATAAAATCCATTTTATTTTCACCTAAATTGCTTTTTTCCATTTTATTTTTTTCTGAATTCTGTGATTTATGATTGAATAAAAATTGATTTAAAATGGTGTCTAATAAAATGAATTAGTAAAAGAACAGTTTGATACTTATTTTAAAATGTAATCAGTTTAAATTAATTTACAACAAAACATTGCATTTTTGTTTGTATGATATTCCTTAAAAATACTATTATTATTATTATTATTATTACTTTATTAATTTTATTTTAGTATACAATAATACACTAAAAAATGCTGGGTTGTTTCAACCCAACTTTGGGTCAAATATGGACTAACCCAACCGTTGGCTTC